GATAGAAGGCGTTCGACAGATCAGCCTCTGAGAAATGCAACGCGCCATCCTCCTCCACCTCCAGGTTCCCAATTGCCCCCCCGTGCGCGGGGTAATATTGCCGGGCCCGGCGAACCGCGCATTGCTGCGACGACAATCGCATGCCAAACTTAATCCATCGCCCTTCTTCGGCGCCCAGAAGCCCAGAGAACTCCGCGGACCCCCCGCCGCGGTCACGGGCAAAATCAACAAGCCCACAGCGATGGAGACGCGAGACACAATTGCCCCACGCACGCGGTTGGCGAAGCGAGGGGTCAGAGTAGGGCGCCTTCACGCCGCGCGTTCTCCTCCACCCCAGCGCCGGCCCCGCAGGTAGCACACAATCGCAAATAAACTCCGCGACGCGCCCGCGCCCGCCTGCGCTCCGCAGCGCCGCGAGGGGCAACGCGCGGCTCCCCGCGGCCGGTAATGAGAGCAAGTCGCGACTGTAGTCCCCCAGTATCACGTCCGCGTCCGAGCCGAAGAAACTGGGCGCCCGAAGCCACCGCGGAGCTTCTGGGGTGTCGACGCCAGCAGGAGGAGGGCCAAGAGCGGAGGCGCTCTTGCGCGCATGCCCCATGATGCGACGCCGCACCAAGAACTGCGGCCCGGCGCGACGCCAGGAGAGTTGCGCATGGCATTGAGCGCGGCAACCGCCCGACGGACATCCAGACCCCGAGCGCGACGGGCAAGCGCTCGTTGCCGGCGCCCGCGAGACAAGACCCCTCTGCAAGCGCGACGATCGGCTGCGACCGGCGGGAGCGGCAGAGGCAAAGGGTTCCGCGCAACATCCCAAGAGGACTCATCACGTCCACCGATGGAAGACATCATGCAGAGGCGCCCCCCGCCCGACTGTCGGGCGAGGGGCGCGGAGGGGGCGCTACATCGCGCCGTCAACCTCCGTCGCCCTTCTTGCCATTATTGAGAGACCCCTTCTTTTCGCGAGCCTTGCGGAGGTTCTTGGCCAGGGCTGCTTCGCGCTCAACTTCCTTCCGAATGTGTTCGGGTAGGTCCGGGCAGATCATCAGACTCGACTGCAGGCGCGTGGACCCAGAGAAGTGCGTCTGCTCCTCGATCGACAGCCCCCCACTCTGATTGGCCCCCTCTCGCTCGCGCACCTTCTCCAAGCACGAATGCTCTATCGTCTACATCCTGCGGAAGATGGCCTCGCAAGCGTGCAAATTGGAGCCGTCGCACTGGTCCGGAAGCAGCAGGGCAGGAATGCACTGCGTGCACTGACCATGCCCCTGCGCACCCCACTGCGTCGGCTCGAGATTGGCCACCGAGCGAAACCGATCGTGATGGCCGTCGATCCCCATCCCCTCATTGTTGATGTAGTCGATACACCAGAATGTAGTGCGAGGACCTGCCACCAGCCAGCCACGCCCGAAGTCCTCCTCGCTCACACGCGCGACCAAGGCTGCCCACATGATCTCGCGACGGGCACCAACACGCAGTATCGGCATCACACGGGCGTCCGCTGCCACCGAGCGGCCCATGAAGGCCTCAAAATCCGCGGGCGCAACCTCCTCGACGAACAGCGCACTGCCGTCCGAAAGGATGTGAAAACCACGCCCGTGGACCACGGCACGTGACGGCATATGCCCAGGGATCTCGTCGCCGTACCGGAAGTCCCCCAGTAACTGGGCCGCACGCCAGCGAGCTCCGCCGTCGGCCACCACCTGCGCCGCCGCCGCTCCTTGCAGCACGCCTGGCAGAGGCCCCGCCAAGCCCAGGCGCGGCCGCGACCACAGCTCCTGCGACGGCGCCGCGCCCGCCTAGCACCAGCGCCACGAAGCCCGCGGCGGTGAGCAAAATCGAGCCGACCCATATGGCCCGCGTTCTGCTGGCAGCGCTGGAGGGCGAGGAGCTCCGCGTCGTGAAGGACCACCTGCTTCTCCGCCGCCGAAGGCCCCTGGGCGAATCGATACACACGAGCAGGATTCAAGCCGTGAGGCACAATGTTCCGTGCGGCGTCATCGTTGTCCCCTTCGTCGTACTTCTCGATGAACGTGTCGCCGTCGGTCGTGGTCCCGACAAACTCAGGAGCCGATTGCGCCAGGCGGCCTGAAACCCACCGCTGGTGCACCAGATCGTCGCCGTCGTACCTCAGCCACCCCCACTGCATAGCTCACGACCTTTTTGAGAGCACCACGACAGAGCAGCAGCCAATCGCTCCCCCCGCCCACGCGCCACGCACGAAGGCCCCCCACGTGTCACAGGGCTCCGCCTCCGCCGGGCCCTCGCAGGTGGGGCAGGCAGGGCAGGTCGCGGCGGCGTCCGCGGGAGCCTCGCAGGCCGCCTGACGCGGCTCCGCCACGGACGGCTCGGGGCACGTGAGCGACGGGCAGCTAGGGCAGTTCACGCTCGGTGCGGGCGGGCACGTGGCAGGCCGCGCACGCCAGCGAGTACCTCGGGCACTCTGGCGCGGGCTGGCAGCGCTGCAGGTACGCCACCGTCACGTCCCGCGTCCCCCCGAGCACACACCAGGGCCACATCGAAGGCTTCCACGGACCGCTCCCCCCGCTCCGCCTAGAGCCCCAACGATTAAGGCGGTTCTTCCCACTCATGCTTCGCAAAACACGTTAGGATGAGTGCAAGCACCATCATCATCATCATCACCACATCATCATCATGATCGTCGTCTTAGTCGTAATCCTCGTTGCCGTCGTCATCGTCATCGGTATCATAATCCCCGCCCCCATCCTCATCCTCATTCTCATCAGAATCATAATCAGCACCATCGCCGGCATCAGCAGCTTCGTATGAATGGTAGTCCCCTTCACTATCATCGTCATCATAGTTACCAACATCGTCATAGACATTGGCACCTTAATCATCCCTATAATGCTCATCATCAGCAGCAGCTGAACCAGCCATCATGAGTAAGCACTGTCATGGTTGCACCTCAACATCGTCATAGTCATCATTGCTGCCATCATCGTCCTCAGTATCGGCATCATCCTCATCGTCATCGTCATCGTCATCACCACCAACAGCGCCATCCTCATCATCACCATCCCCACTCAGATCCCCCTCCTCGTCATCACTATCCTAGTCATGTTCAGTCCTTCTCCTCCTCCGCGCGCAGGAGAAAGGGCAGGAGGGACGAAAAACGAGAGATACGAAGAGAGAGGGGGAGGAGGAGGAGGAGGAGGAGGAGGACGAGGAGGAGGAGGACGAGGAGGAGGAGGACGAGGAGGAGGAGGACGAGGAGGAGGAGGAGGAGAATGAGGAGGACGACGACGAGGAGACAGACGGCAAGTGAAGGAGAGAGGGGGATAGGAGGAGAACAGGCTGATTGTTTCTCTATCCACGGACGCATGCCATAGCCGACCTGCAACTCCAACAGAAGAGGCCGCATCGTGCCATGTGCAGTCGGAAAAGTGGAGTTGCTGCGTCCACACGGGGAGGAGGGGGCGGGTGAGCAGGAGAAGGAGCGGGAGGACAGGGACGAGGACGCACAGCAGCCACAGGAAGCTGCAGCGGAAGGAGCTACAGAAGCTGTTTGCGTCGGCGGCCAAGCAAGGGAACGTCTGCGCTGGCGGTGGGATGCCTAAACGTCGGTCGGAAGAAGTAGGTAAACACATGAAGTAGGAAGGCTGATATAGTGGATTGGGGTCAGGCCCTCCCAGAGATAAACTAAGCACAGCGAAGACATGTCGGTTCTTGAAGTAGGAAAGCGCTTGAAGCAGATCGGGATCGGGGAATCCAAAAGTGCCGACTTTCAACGACTGGCGTGTTGACAGGGATGCCGCCAGAGCGAATTGTGCCACCATGCTCGGGAGCGGCCAAGAGGGGGGTGTCCAAGAGGGGGGGGTGCAAATCATGACCGGCGGCACGTGCGCGACCCAGCGGGGGGGCCAGGGACGTGATAAAATGAGAAGAGGCGCCGCGAAATCTGGGGAGATAGCATGGCCCACGCCACGCCATGATGTCCACCCCCCCCTAGTCATCACCCCCCTCTTTTCCGCCCCCGACATGCAGGGGGAGGAGCGGCGGGGGGGGCGCGGCCGAGAGAGGGGCGGACGGGGAGGGAGCGTGCGGCTCTCGGGGGGGGGGGGGACGGGCCGCTCGCCGAGGGCCAGGAGGAAGCAGGAGGATCAGGGGGAGGCGGAGGAGGGGTACTCCAGATTTCGTAATAAAAGGGAGGGGGTCTCATTTCGGGGGGGGGTCTCTTCCAGGCTGTCTTGGAGGGCCTGGGGGGGTCTGGGGACGATGTTTTGGAGGGTTCTCCCACGGGGGAGGTCTGAAATGGCTTGTCTTGGAGGGTCCAGACCCCCTCCCTTGTATTACGAAATCTGGAGTAACGAGTGCGGGCAATACTTCTATCCATACCCAGAACGATGGAGAGCAATTCGGATTCGGAAAGGTGGCCCGCGCTGGGGCGAGAGCGCAACTCTGAACGACGGGAGCAAAGCGCCGATCCGGACAGGAGGCCCGCGCTGCAGCGGGAGCAACATTCTAAAGCACCAGAAGCAACCAGGTTGCATTCACACACGAGTTTGATATCTGATGTAAAACAGCACGCGGAGAGGGACGAGTAACTTCGGGACGGGGTCAGAGAAGAGATGAGAGTAGCACTCATACTGCTAATTGTGAGGGAGAAGACGAAGGGACGGAGAAGGGCGAAACGGGATGGGGAAAGGAGGGAGAAGTGGAACAGGGAGGAGGAGACAGAGAGACGAAGAGGGAGGAGGAGAAAGACGAACATGGACGAGGAGGAGGGATACGGAAAGGGCCGACGACTCAAAAAAAGGCAGTAAGGCAGGATGAGTAGGAGGAAGAACAGGGAGGAGGAGGAGGAGGAGCAGGAGGAGAAGAGGATCAGAAGGTAATAGGAGGAAGAGGAGGAGGACGACGAGGGGAGAGGAGGAGAGGAGGACGGAGGAAAAGGAGGAGCAGGAAGAGGGGGAGACATGAGAAGGACAAATACAAGAGCGACGACGAGAGCGAGAGCGACGACGACGGCGTTGTCCTTCCTGCGAGAGTGGTCGCTCCCGTTGCTCTCGTTGACGAGGCTGACGCCGAGCCGCGTGCCGGCGGGGCAATGCTGATTGCAAGACTGGTTCAACCTTAGCAAGCCCATCCTCATCTCCATCCCATCAGCATCATCATCATCAGCATCATATTCATCTTCATCTTCATCAGCAGCATCAGCATGTCCCCCATCATCATGCACGACAACAACATCGTCATCCCTCTGCAGATTGCTCATCGTCTTGCTCGTCCACGCCCACTGATGTGTGGTCCACCTCGTCTCTCAACCATGTCCTCCCCTTCCTCGTCCTCTTCCTCTCATATCAGTCGTCCTGCTCCGCCTCATCATCCTCCTCATGCCAATCCTTTTCCATATCCCCTCCTTGCACCTCCTCTTCCTCATCGCTATCCTCACTCCGCCTGATCATTCTCCATTTTCTCCTCCTCATCATCATCCTCATCCTCATCCTCATCAGCATCAGCATCAGCATCAGCATCAGCATCAGCATCATCATCAGCAGCATCAGCATCATCATCCTCATCATCATCCTCATCATCATCCTCATCATCATCCTCATCATCATCATCATCATCATCATCATCAGCATCATCATCATCATCCTCATCATCCTTTTCGTCCTCCATGTCCTCATCCTCCTGGGAACAGCTCATCGGGGGCATACCGATGTTCGATCCTAGGACCAGCAACAAATGCGAAAGGAGAGGCTACCCTGCAGCCTTGGACTCGTTTGTCCAAACTTCCTTTTTTGCGGGGGAAGAAGCCCTCTAAGCCTATCCAAAGCTTGCTTGCCTGTAGCGAATGGTCGCTGGCAGGCCTTCCCAAGATGTGAAAGTGCCGATGCCCCGAACCGTCACACAATTCGCACCACCAGAGACCGCGCAAGCACTGAATCCGATGGGTCACGTGGGTCTGGCGGGGCTGGCCTGGGCACTCCTGAGCCACCAGCCATTGGGCCCGTGGGAGTGCCCTCGAGGACGAGGTGAGAAAGTGAACGCACTGAATGTGACCCTCTTAGATGCTCATTCTGGGGACCTTCCTGGAGCCACTCGCTCCACTCGTGCGTCGAAGCTGCGTCGAACCTGAGTAGAACCTGAGTCGAACCTGAGTCGAACCTGAGTCGAATCTGTGTCGAATCTGTGTCGAACTTGAGTCGAACTTGAGTCGAACCTGAGTCGAACAGATCCATTAGGTGGGCCCCAAGAAGGTCCCCAAAACGAGCATCGAATGAATGTGACCCTCCCCCGCCGCGGTGGCCTGGATGGCATGGGACGAGGCAAGGCGGGCAGCAGCGGTAGCCTCCCCCCGCGCGACCCGTCCCGCACGCCGGGCGGCGACCCGACCTGCGGGCCGAGGCATGGGGATCGCCTGTCGGACCTCGTCCAGTCAAACGGTGGATAGATTAGAACGAACTCGCAAAGCTAGATAATCGATTCTGGCCACCTCGCGGAGGCTCGCGGGAAAATCGGGCCAGCTGGACCCGCGCTCGGAAGCTTCGCCGCCTAGTTGCACGGACGCTCCTCCGCCCCCCCATGCCCCACTGTGTCGTCAGCCTCCGCGAACAGCTTCCATCCTGGGGGTCACTGAACAGCAGGTTGGTGTCCGTATTTGCCGCCGCCGCACGAGCTCCTCGTGATGCGATGTGCAACCAAATATAAAGAAACAGTCGCGGCGATTTCCCTCGTTCTCACCCGCATCCTCTTCTGGCAGCGCACCCTTCCATCACCTGCAGCACAAGTATGATTGACAAACTTACGATTTCACGCCCCAAGTGAGCAGCCATCGCGCTGCTCGTCGCCACGAGGGGGCGCTGGATCTCTCGACGCCTTTTTCGCTTCTTTCACCCCGGGGGCTTTCGCTTTCGCAGACGCTAACAGCGGTCATGACCGCCAGTGGGTGCCGTGCGCGTCGCCGCCCTCATGATTCGCGGCACCAGAGAGGCATCGGCGCTGAAGCCGCCCGCGCGGATCCCAATACCCAGGGGGCAACGTCGAGGGCGCCCCCTACGCGGCGCTCTCAGCCCTCGCGGGACATGAACATTGCCGTTCTCCGCCCTGATCCCAATCCCGAAGGAGGTCTGCACCAGGATTGAAATAAAGCGCGGCCCGACTGGTTTTCGGTCGCCGTTTTCCTCAGGGGCTCCCAACTTCGCGCTTCGCGCTGCGCGAAGCGCGAATAGCTTCCCGCTTTCGCGCCGCCCCCCCAAAGGGAGAAGAGGAGGAGGAGGAGGAGGAGGAGGAGGAGGAAGGGGAGAAGGCACGAGGACCGCGAAGCGCGAAGCGCGAATAACTTCGCGCCCTCGAGGGCGCCCATTGGTCCGAGTGGTTTTCGGTCGCCGTTTTCCGGCAGCCTGACGTCGAGCCCTGGCCCTATGCGCTCGGCTTGTGCAGGGAGGTCGCCAGCTTCCAAGCCTCGGCGCGGCGCGAGCGGTCCCTCCAGACCGGGCCATCAAAGCTGGGAATCGGGAGGTTGTCGCGGGTGCCGCCGCCGTCTCTTGGGCGTGGCTCAATGGGGGGGTCGTAAATGGGGGGGTCACAAATAGTCACCCTTTCGTGCCCCTTTCGGGCCCCTCCGGAGCCCCAGGGGGCTCGTTTAGGTACCGTTTGGGTACCTTTCGTACCAACCTCCCCCCCCCCCATTTATCGGCCCCCCATCTCCGAACGCCCAAGTCTCTCTGCGACCCTGGGCCGGGAAGCAGCGTCGCACAGTCTAACCCGTATCATAAAAGGACGCAAGATGAGGATGCAAGGGCCTTGGAAGGCCATCTCGAAGCTTTTCGAGCGGGCGCGGCCAACGAAAGTGGCTAAGGGTGGACCGAGGAGGGAAGGATGCAAGGGCACTCAGAGTTTCTTAATAAGCGTCGGTGGAGCGTTAAGGCGCCGAAGGCGCTCCGACCCCCGTCGCGGCGCGACGACGAGGCGAGGTTGACCCCCGTCGGGGGGGCACTACCCCCCCACGCATATTAAGATACCCAGAGTGCCCTTGGGAAGGTTGCCCATCCTTCCCATGCTGCTCGACTGTAGTCCTAGGTCTGGCCTGTCCCCCTACAGGCGGATTTTGGACGAACAATTAAAAACATTCCCAAAACATTGAAAAACAGACAGAAGTAGTCAAAACATCGTCCCATGACTATGTTTTACTATTTTTGAATACTCCTCCTGTAGAAGGACGTGCCCGACTCAACTGTAGTCCTCTTCGTGGTCGCCTTGGTCGGAGTCGTCGCCGTCCTGCCCCCGCTGAGGCTGCGCCGCGCGGGCCGCGGTCTGCTGCCCTCCACGTGGGACCAGCCATGGCGCGCGAGTACGGCTGCCGAGAGTGCAGCATCCTCCTCCTCCTCCTCCTCCACCTGCTGCCGAGAGTGCAGCGGCAGGATCTGGCATAGACCGACAGCCACTGCTATGGCTATGAGTGTGAGTGATATGCGATCGATGGCTTCCTCGGCGGGCGACATCCGATGCCAGGAGGCTGTCCTCGGTGGGAGATAGCCAATGCCCAAAAGCTGAAAGGTGCACCCGGTTTAGGGGAAGAGGTGGCCGCGGGCGGCGGGCGAGGCATGCTTTGCACGTCACCCGGACACGCACATGTACACGTTAATCTCTTCAGCCATCAGGAATCAAGGATCAGAAAGAGGAGGAGGAATAGGAAGAGCAAGAGCAGGAAGACGTCAACTCCAACGACGACGCAGACGACGACAACGACGACGACGACGAGGCCCCAGGCCACGGCCATGGCCAGGACGACGACCACGTAGAAAACGAATGACGACGGCGACGCAGACGACGACCACCACCACCGACAAGACGTGCTGCGCTGCTGGGCGCAGGGCAGCGGGGGCGGCATGCGCCGGCTGTTGATGTGCGTCGAGTTGCACGCGGGCATTTTTCCGCTCCAGGCGTCCCTGACTTCGTAGGCGTAGACGTTGCGCTTGCCTGCAGCACTGCAGGTGCCCATCGAGAACCTGCCGAGAAGGCCAGAATCTAACAGGAGATGTGGCGACCCCAATTCCCAACTTTGGGGGGTTTTCGACGGGACCAGTTTGGGGCCCGAGTCTGGGATAATTATACGATGGGGAGGGGTCCATCCTCGATAGAGGTGCGCCCGAACAGCCCACTGGGAGTGTACCAAAGAGTTTCCCCCCTTCTCTGAGCGGCCTTACTTTTTGGGGCGGGCATCGACAGGGGGGGGAATTGTGTAGGAGGGGGGAACATCGACCTGGAATCGGCGATACATGGCCGATAGATTGGCGAGAGGCCCCCGATAATTAATCCGCACGCTCCTGGGCAGGTTGGGGCTATCGGGCCCCCATCGGCGATCTGTGGGTGATCTGTGGGTGATTGGGGGTCGATGCATCCCCCCACTATGCCTATCTGGAGGCCTTCTAGATGGGGTCCGAGTAGATGGTGTCGGAGGATTGCGCCGCATCGCCGATGCTTCGGCGATGCACCGGCGATGCATCGCAGACGTCGGCAATGCATCGGGCACGTCGGCGTGAAGCAAATCGGGCTCCGCATCTGGCCGCGTCACCGATGCACTGGCGATGCAGCGCGATCTTCCGACCCGACCTGCTCCGACCCCATCTAGGACGCCAAGGCTATCCCCCCCAATCGTTGCCCCGCGATCCTCAGCCACGGTCCTCCTCCTCCTCCTCCTCCTCCTCCTCCTCTTCCTCCTTCCTCCTCCTCTTCCTTCTCCTCCTCCTCCTCCTCCTCCTCCTCCTCCTCCTCCTCCTCCTCCTCCTCCCTCCACACCCCGCGCCGCCCGAACGCCGCGCACGAGAGGCCCTTCGGGCGAAGGGCCACCTCCTAATCCCTCGGACGTGCGACGCCAGAGGGGCCCAGGGGCACGCAAACAAGTCCGCCGACCCTGTCGGCGTGTGTGGGGCGTCTGTCCGGCCCCGTCGACAGGGAGCCTTCTTTCGCTCCCTCGGGGGGGAGAGAGAGAGAGAGAGAGAGACAGACAGACAGAGAGAAGGAGAGAGCACCCTTCCTCGTTCGGGGAACGGGTTCGCAGCTTAAGGGGATCCCATCCACGTCTTCATTACGTCAAAGGGAAGCCCCTTCCCTTTGTCCCTTGCCCGGCGGGGGGGGAGGGGGTCCAGGGGAGTGGGAGGGGGGGGGGTCAGATTCGCATCGCCTCTGGGGGTCCTCCTCTCCCACGCCTGTCCTTCTCTGGCGCGCCGGTCCTCCTCGGGTCCTCCTCCCCAGGTGGGGAGGATTCCCGGGGGGGGGGGGACGGGAGTCAGATACGCATCCGTCCCTGGGGGTCCTCCTCCCCCCCGACTCCCCTCTCCCACGCCGAACATCCTGAGGTCATCTTCTGGTCCTCCTCCCGTCCTCCTTCTCCTCCTCCTACTCCTCCTCCTCCTCCTCCTCCTCCTCCTCCTCCTCTTCCTCCTCCTCTTCCTGGTCGCCGTCGATGTCTTTCAGGGTCGGGGGCACCAGCCGTCAGGCCTTCACAATATAGACACTACTTCAAGAAGGTTCCCTATCTTTCCACGTGTGTTCTGGGTTTTCGTCTGCCCACCCCCCACACACTTCCCATGTTCCCAGATTCTCCGGGGAACCTGCGACTAATGGTGTCTGTGTGCTTTTGTCCCCTCCTGATATGCCTGATGTGGAGATCAGAGCTATTGATTGGAACTCTGTCGAGGGATAGTGACGCTCGGCTTCCCCGCCTCCCCGCCTCTTGTGCCAGATACAGGCCGCAGAGAATAAACACAAACGACCCAAGGGTTATGTTACTCCCATCGTACTTAAGGACCACATCCCAGAAATAATTTCGAGCACCCAGAAAAGTATCAAAACAGTGTCGAGCGAGTATCGCCTCAGAGGGCCCACACGTGAAAACCTTCCAGTTTCGGTGCTTTCTTGGTGCTCGAAGCTCTTCCTGGCGATCAGGCTTAAGTAGGTTGGAGCATAACCCCAGGGGGGGTGGGGCTCATGATTATCAGGGCTGAACCTAAACGGTGTTTCTCGTTTTCGTGTTGCTTCCGTTTTCCCTCGTTGTCTTCAACCCGCCTCTGACGCAAAACGAAACCGAAACGAAAACGGCCCAGGGAATCGCCAAAGCACCGCTTAGGTCCACCCCCGATGCTTCGCACGGGGACGCAGCTACGCGAGCGCAAATCGGAAGAACAAAAAAAAGAAACTGCCGTGACAGAGACGGGCCTTTTGAGCAGGGACCGACCGTCGCGGCATTCCTATAGTCCTACCACGAAATGTTCTTAGAACCCAAAAATGTTCTAAGAACAGAACAGAAACAATGTTCTTAGAACATATACCCGATGTGATAAAACAAGACAGACTCCGCCAGAAATGTTCCAGGAACATTTCGTGGAAACGACCACCGGTTCTTCGAACATTGTTTGGTGGGGCTATGGGCGAGCCAAGACGCTTCGCCACTGCTTGGGCCTTGGCCGAGGCGGGCCTCTGGGAGCCCGGGCGCCTGGTCCTGAGAGCCGGGCGTGCCTCCTGGAAGTGCCTGCCGCCTCCTGCCACCGCTCGGGCGGCCATTCCCCGTGTGCACCGCTCGGCTTCGTGCGTGTCTGTGTGCATAGATAGACGTACATACACGCAGATACAGATATATGAACAGATGCCTACATACACACAAGTAAATATACACATATATGTATATATCTATATATACACATATGTACACACACATCTTGTACATGTACACACAACATCAAATATCTATACATACCTATATACATGTATATATGTATATATATATGTATATATCTGTATATATACACTAGATTCCCAAGATGATCCCACAAGGCTCCTCGCCGACCCTCGCCAACCCAACAATGCACACGTCCGAGCGATGCCAAGGACTGCCCCGGGGCCCAGGAACGGACCCCAGAGGCCGAAGCTTAGGTCGGGCACGTCCTCCTACAGGCGGATTTTGGAAGCAAGGTGCAAGTAGGCAAAAAAAGATCAAAAAGACTTACAAGAGCACGAAGAACCGTCACCAGACCATTCTCCGCCATTCTGGAGCATTCCTCCTGTAGAAAGAGGGACACGCCCGACTGAAGCCCCGAAACAGGAGGAATCAAGTATTTTTTGGTGCCCGGACAGAACACCTGGGCGACACAACCCGAAGGGAGGTGCCCAAGGTGCCTGCATGAATTCACGTGCAGTCGGACCTCGCAACACGAACGGCGGCACGGACCCGCCCCAGGCGTTATCCGCGCCGCCATTGCGAGGTGCCTCGAGATGCCACCCCGGGACGGCTCTGCTTCACGACGGAGCCACGGTGGCGGTCTCGCGCCACGGCCGCGCGCGCCCGCACGCGCGGGCCCGCGCGGATCGGGCGGGGCCCGAGGGGCAGTCACCGGCAGGGGTGGGGGGGGCATCACTGAAGGGGCCCTAGGACACACGAATGAATACACACAAATAAAAGGATTCCCCATATTTTCCCATAGCTTCTGGGTTTCTGTCTTCCCCCCACTTCCCATGTGTTCCCATATTTTCTGGGAGATCGACGATGAATTGTGTCTGTGTGTTTTTTCCCTCCTGAATCACTTCTGCCTGAGGGCTCGGGGACCGAGTGGGGGGGGGACGAGGGCCGAGCAGGCTCCGGACGTGTTTGAGAGCGCCTTTTGGGAAATCTCCGAAGGTTCTGTGAGCGGTTTTTTAATCGGCGTTTCGACATTGGGCTTAAGTCGGGCGTGTCCCCCTACAGGGGGATTTTCGACGAAAAATAAAAAAATACTCAAAAAAAATACCAAAATGGTCAGAAAATACTTAAAAAAAAAGCCCCCATACTATTTTTTGACTATATTTGAAAATTCCTCCTGTAGAGGGACGGGCCCGACTTGACATTGGGCGGAAGGGGCGGGGGGGGTCTGGCTCTGGACCTCTGCTGGATGCGACCGTTTGCAACAGTGCGTCCAGTGGGGGAGACTCCACCTGCTTGGAACAGTTCGAACAGCCAAGATCTACTCAAAGGGAGGGGGTGAACAGCCAAGATCTACAGCCAAGATCGGCAAAACAATTAATAAGAAAATGACGAATTTGGGGGGGTTCGCGGGCAACCCTCTCCTCCCCCCATGCGCTAGGGATCCCCACCGGGCGACCCAAGCCACCGCCACACCCACCACATCACTGACTTTTATATGTTCAGAAGTTTCTCTAGAGCCTGTGGCCTGACAACCGTCGTTAGCTGCGTGCGCCCCAAGAAAAGCCCCTGGTTAAATGCGAAAAATGCAACCGCGGAGGGCCGGGAACACACATTACTATGACACCAAAAACGTGTGTAATAAAAACCCACAACTCTTTTTGATTGAAAAACTGCCGGAAACGAGATTACATGGTACATTGCTCAAGTCGCGGCATCACGCACGTGCAACGGCGCAATTATACAAACGCAAAAACGCGCTGATAAAACACGCCGGCGCTTTTCATCAAAGCAGAGAAAGATGTACAAAACGATGTTGTAAAGCCGGAAGCGTCGCGATTTCGCAATCGTCGCCGAGGGGGCGCGTCGACGAAGTCCACAAGTACTCGAGGCGGGGGAGCCTCTGAGAAGCCAGGGGGCCGACGTCTTGGAACGCTCTTTGGAGGCCCTGGAAGGTTCTGGGGGGGTCCATGGACAGCCTCAGCGCCCCTCTAACGGGGACTCCACTAATGGGTACGTTGGCCAGTGACCCAGCGAACCCAATCATCCCCGATGTGGGCAACGCTGCAGTGCCAGAGAGAGGCCTAAAAAGGCAACGTTCGGCAATTTCCCAAAGTACCCCTTAGTGAGTACCCATTACGGTGCCGCCGACAGCCCTTCCTCCCCCTGGCGCCGGAGCTCCTCCCCGGAGGGGCGCCTTCTGAGAAGGCGGGGGATGCTTCTGAGAAGCCAGGGGGGGCCTGGAGGCCCTCCTGGCTCCCGAGGCGGCCCATGGGCCCGTGCAGTTAGCACGGGCATGTCCCTCTACAGTACAGGAGGAATAGTCAATCAAAGTTAACAAATAATCTGGTGACGATTTCTCGTGCTTGCAAAAATCCGCCTGTAGGAGGACATGCCAGACCTCACCCTACAGTCGAAACTGATATGCGCGGTAAGGATGGAAGCCCCATGGACGCCCGCGTCGACCCTTGTCGAGCGGGGCTGGCCATTGAGAGTGGTTAAGGAGGGACCGAAGAGGCAAGGATGCAAGGGTGCTCTTAAAAAGGTTGCCCATCCCTATCATCGATGTCGATTGTATTGGATGTCTGGCAAGGCTTCTGCAGTTCTCCAGGAACGGCTCCGGGCTGCTCGCTTGTCGTTGCCATGCCGCACTCTTTGTGTGTTGGTGCCCGGCGACCCTCTCCGACCAGGGACGGCCTTGTAGGACGGCCTTTTAGGGGGCCCCTGGGAAAGTTGCCCATCCTGATCATCGGTTTCGATTGTGCCAGAATCGGGGACGGCCAAGAGTGGGGCGTCCAAGAGGGGGGGGAGGGGGGCGCAAATCATGGCCGGCGGCGTGTGCGAGGCCCAGGGGGGTGCCAGGAATAGAATGAAATGAGGGCGCCGTGAAATCTGGGGAGACATCAAGGCCCGCGCAACGATATCCACCCCCTCTAGAGGCCTCCTAGGTAGGGTCCGAGTAGATGGGGTCAACGGATCGCGCCGCATCGCCAATGCATCGCCGATGCATCGGCGATGCATCGGCGGCGTCGGTGTGGATCACATCAGGCTCCACATCGAGCCGCATCGCCGATGCATCGGCGATGCGGCGCGATCCTCCGACCCCATCTACTCGGATCCCATCCGGGAAGCCTGGGCCCTAATCAGCACCCCCCTTTGCGGGCCCCGGAAACGGAAGGCCCGTTTTCACCGTTTCCAAAAAAATGCCCCTTGAAAATGGAAACGGCAAAAAAAATGCGACCGGAAACGGCAACAAAAACGGCTCCAGGAGTGGAACTGGAGCGGGAACCCGTAACAAAAACGGCGACGGAACCAGCAAAAAAGCAGGGTCGGAACCGGCAAACAAACGGCAAAACGGAACTGGTAAAAAAACGGCCCTGTCATTTCCAGGGCCCACTAAGCCCTGGTCATCACCCCCGTCTTGGCAGCCCCCGACAGAAGGCTCCTCAGCCCCAGCCTCACGGAAGGCCGCCCCCCCCGGCGCCGCTCAGACCCCCGACGCCAGCTGCTTGTCCTCCACGCCGCGGACCAGCCCCAGAGTGCTTGGACCACGTCGCGCCCCCAAGGCCGGCTTGTCCTCCTCCTCCTCCTCCTCTTCCTCCTCCTCCTCCTCCACCTCTTCGTCTGCCTCCTCCTCCTCCTCCTCCTCCTCCTCCTCCTCCTCCTCCTCCTCCTCCTCTTCCTCCTCCTCCTTCCATGCCATTCCTCCTCCACCTCCTCCTCTTCCTCCTCCACCTCCTCTTCCGTGCCATTCCTCCTCCTCCTCCTCCTCCTCCTCCTCCTCCTCCTCCTCCTCCTCCTCCTCGTCCTCGACGGTCCCAGGACCGGACGCGGCGGCGCGCACAAGGGGGAGGGGGGGAGGGCTTCTTAGAAGGGGGCTGCTGCTGAGCAGGCGCGGGCCCTGCAGCTGCAGAGAAGCAGGCCAGCCACAACTGGGGGAGCTGTGGTCCCTACCCCCCTGGGGGACCCATCGATTTCGACCCCCCTCTCGAGGGGTCGTCGATGCGATGGGTTCCCCCAGGGGGGTAAGGACCACAGCTCCCCCAGGTATGGCTGGTCGGACAAGGCCCGCACCTTCTGAGAAGCAGGGGTCCCCCCTACCCCTACCCTCCATCCGCGCGTGGCTGGGTCGCTTCATTCCCCCCCTACCCCCTACCCCCTGCCCTCCTCCCCCTGCCACCCTGTGCGCAGGACCAGACCTCACTCCTTCAAGGCAGGCTGGTCCTTGGTGAGGGCCCCTGGGGCACCGAACACGAGCAACAGCCCTGCGTCGTGGCATCTCTTCCACGACGCGAGGAAGCATGGGTCCTGTGCGAGCCAGCGGGTGCGCTCGCCCTCCCCCCGACTGGACGCCTCGGGGACACGCAGACCTGGGCCAGCTCGGCCACTCGCAGAGGGGGTCAGGGAGAGGGGGGGGAGAGCTTCTTACTAGGAGGCTGCTTCTCAGAAGGCGCGGGCCTTGTGTGTATGTATGGGTATGATGTTAGACTAGAATATATGATACCCAGTTACAGCACACGAAAGTGAATTGTATTACATCTGCGCGTACATAACATCATAACACATTACACTACAGTATACCGTATCATAGTGGGTTGCATCACATCACCTTAAAACGCATTGAACTATGGTACGGTACACTATAGTGTAATACGTCGTATGATACTACATTATAGCATACTCGGTGATGGTATAAACATGGTATTACCATGAACCATACGATACTATAATATATGTACTATAGTACTGCCTGGTAGCATGCCTTTTAGTATGGTATAACATGCAAGTGCAATACACTGGACCACTGCATGCCATGGTGTTTTATAACGTACTACTGTTAAGCCATGGTCTATTATAATTGGTTATGTTATACTGTCGGCTAATCGGAATTATTCCAGCATAACGTAATGTAGTGTGCCTGGTAGATTGTGGTAAACAGATTATGCGTCACTTAAAAATGTCACAGTATACTATATTACGTATAGTTGTCATAGTGTATGAGGGTATACTGTATTGCATCATATCATACTATGACACACCATGGTAGATCATATCGTATTCTATCTTATCCCTGTTTACCATAGCATATCATGTTCTATTGTAGTACATCATATTATCATGTATGTGTAGGTACAACTACTGAAGGTACAAGGCCGGCGCCATCTGAGAAACAGGCTCCCTGCAAGACGCCTCCCCCCCTCCCCCGTACCCCTCTCTGCACGCTGCCAAGCCATGGCCACGTCGCGGACACGGGCCAGCAGCGCGGTCGGCGGGGCGAGGGGAGGGGGGAATCTCGGCTCCACGCGGCCCACAAACCCAGGTTGGCCAGAGGGGATCAGAGGTGATTGGCCGAGTATAGCGCAAGCTCACGAGAACAGCCAGAAGATCAAGGTTCTTATTCCAAGGGCAGCCAGTGTCAATCCTCAACGTCCTATTTCTACTGCCCCAGGCAGCGCTGTGGCTCCAGACGGGTCCCCCAGAGGGAATTGCCTGGCACCCGTTTGCGCTGACCTCCGTCCCAGACCTCCGACGATGTGATGTTTCCAATCCGCGACCCAAGAGGTCCCGACCGCTTCCCTGGCAGGAGGCCTTCATCCCAGTGCCCGAAATGAGGCCCCAGGGCACGAAATCGGGGAGAAACTCCCGGCCTGAGCAGATGACATTGTCGAAGACCTGGGGTCACGTCCACTGGAACGAAAACCAACACAAACAGCAACTTTCGGAACTCCGCGCGGTGGTCTAGGACCGACGCTGGACCTCCCTCCCTAGCGCGCGCAGCCCGCCAGGGGCGGCGGCGGAGGCGCCACCAGGGGGGGGCCCAGCACCGATCCAAGAGATCTGCCCGAAGCTCCACGCGGCCCACGCGACCCAGGCTCCCCGCGGCTCCACGGGGAGGGGGAATCTCAGCTCCACGCGGCCCACGAGCCCAGGCTCTGGCACTGGACACTCGAGCCCCAGAGCCGGGCCAGCGCCGACCCGGCTCAGCCGGTCGGCCCCCCTCTGCGCGTGGCCGACACTTCGCCCCGAGGCACCGCCAGTCCGCGTCCGTGCAGGGCCGCAGGCTCCACGTGCCGCGGCGCCGGCTGTTCGCCGCCGCCGCGCCCGCGCCCGCGCCCGCGCAGAGCGCGGCGGCCGCCAGCGCCGCGCGCGCGGCCGCGCACCGCGCCATGCCCCCTGCGGGGGGGGGACGCCGGCCGACGACGACGGGCAACGGACGACGGACGGCGACGGACGACGGACGACGGACGACAACGGACGACGGCGACCGCCACGAGGAAAGACGACGTCGACGACGACGACGACGACCCACGACGACGACGACAACGACGACAACAACGACGAAGACGACGACGAAGACGACGACGACGACGGAGGACGGACGACGACAAAGACAACGACGACGGCGACGACGACGACGGACGCCGATGACAACCACGACGACGACGACGACCACGACGACGAAAGAGGAGGACGACGAACGAAAGACGACAAAAAATGATGACACCGACGGAGGATGACGACAACGGACGACGACGACCGACGACGGACGACGGACCACGACGACGGACGAAGCCGACGACGACGGCGACGATGGACGACGACGACGACGATGGACGACGACGACGACGACGAGGAGGACGGACGACGGACGACAAACGACGGACGCCGACAACGACGAACGACGGAAGACGACGCCGACGACGGCCGACGACGACGACGGACGAGGACGACGACGACGACCGACGACGGACAACAACGACGGCGGTGTCGACGACGACGACGACGACGGTAACGGACGACGAACGACGGACGACGGACGACAACAACAACGACGACGGACGACGGCGACGGACGACGGACGACGAAGACAAAACCCACGAAGGCGACGACGAACGAGGACGGACGACGAACGACGACGAAGACGGAAGACAGGCGACGACGACGGAAGACGGCGACGAACGGAAGACGACGACGGACGACGACGACGTCGACAACGACGACGACGGGCGACGGACGACGGCGGCAACGACGACGACGACGGAAGACGACGACGGACGACAGACAACGGACAACGACAACAACGACGGACGACGACGACCACAACGACGGCGACGATGGACGACGACGACGACGAACGGAAGACGAGGAGAACGAAGACGCAGACGGACGATGACGGCGACGGACGACGACGACGACGACGGACGACAGACGACGACCACGGAGGACGAAGACGTCGACGACGGCGACGATGGACGACGACGACGGACGATGACGACGGACGAAGGACGACGAACGACGGATGACGACGACGACGACGACGAGGACGGACGACAGAAGACGACGACGACGACGACAACGACTGACGACAACGGACGACGACAACGACGACTGACGACGACGAAAGCGGCGACGACAACGACGGACACGACGACGACGACGGACGAAGACGACGGCGGACGACGACACAAACGACGACGACGAGGGACGACGGACAACGACGACTACAAAACCGACGAAGACGACAACGACAATGACGACGACAAAAGACGACCACAACGACGAAGACGACGGGCAACAGCGACGACCGAAAGACGACGACGGACGACGACGACGACGACCAACGGCGAACGACGACGAACGACGGACGACGACGCACGACGACGACGACGAAAACTGCGGACGACGACCACGACAACGAAAAGCGACGACGACGAACGAAAGCAGAAGAGGATGAAGACGCCGACGGACGATGACGACGACGGACGAACGACAACGGACGAAGGACGACGGACGACGGCGACGACGGACGACGATCATGACGACGGCGACGATGGACGACGCCGGCGGAGACGACGGAAGTCGGACGACGAACGACGGACGACGACGACCACGACGACGCAAAACGACGAGGACGAACGAAAGACGACAAGAATGAAGTCGCCGACGGACGACGACGTCGACGGACGACGGGCGACGACGGACCACGGACGACGACGACGACAGAAGACCGACGATGACAACGACGGCAACACTTCGACAAACCACAGAAGATGACGACGACGACGACGACGACGACAGCGACCGACGGAAGACGACGACGACGAAGACAACGACCGACGACGCTGACGCACGACAACGACGACGACTGGATACGGATGCCGACGACGGTGGCAACGACGGACGACGGACGGAGGACGACGACAAAACCGACGAAGACGACGACGGCGATGACGACGACGACAGAAGACGGCGAAGAAACACGACGACAACGACGACGACGACGGACGAGGGCGACATACGAAAGACAACGACGAACGACGCCACAAACGACTACCGACGACGGACGACGGACGACGGACGACGTCGGAGACGACGACGACCGACGACGAAGACCACGACGGACGACGGACGACGGACGACGACAACGAAGGACGAAGATGACCACGACAACGAAAGGCGATGACGACGAACGACGACGGCGAGAATGAAGATGCTGACGGCAGATGGCGGCGACGGACGACGACGACGGACGACGGAAGACGACGACGACGACGACGACCACGACCGACGACGTTGGACGACAACGACGACGACTGACGACGGAGAACGACAACGGCGAAGATGGCGGACGACTAACGTCGGACGACAACGACAACGACGACGACGACGACGACGACGACGACGGACGACGGACAACGGACGACGACGACGACCACGACGAACGACGAAAGACGACGACGACGACGAAGACGACGACGGCGGGCGGACAAAGACGACGGCCGAAAAAAAGCCGCCGAAGACGACGACGAGGACGACGACGACGGACGACGACAACGACGACGACAACGACGACGACGACGACGGAGACTGACGGCAAACGGCGACAACGACAACGTCGACAACGACGAGGACAACGACGACGACGACGAATGACGACGACGGCGGTCTCCGACGACGACGGACGACGACGACGACGACGACGACGACAACGACGACGGACGACGCTGACGACAAAACCGACGAAGACGGCGACGACGGTGACGACGACGACGGCGGACGACGACACCGACGACGACGAGGACAGACTTTGACAACGACGACGACGAAGACGACGACGACGACCAACGACGACGACGACGACGACGGACAACGGACGACAGACGACAGACTTCGACGACGACGACGAAGTCGACGATGAACGACGACGACGACGTTTGAACGATGGACGGCGACGACGACGACGGAGGACGACGAAGACAACGACGACGACGCACGACGACGACGGAGACGACGATCACTGACGACGGACGACGGACGAAGACGACGACGACAGCCACGGGCGACTGACAACGGACAACGACGACGACGACGTGGACGACGAAGACGACGACGACGACGGCGGACCACAACGACGACGACGGACGAAGACGACGGACGACAACGACAACGACAACGACGACGACTACGAGGGACGACGACGACGACGACGACGACGACAACGACGACGACGACGACGACGACGGCGACCACGAGGACGACGACAGCGACAACGACGACAACGGACGACGACGGACGACGACGACGAACGACAGACAACGAACGACTGACGACTGAAAACGACGACGACGACAGACGACGACGACGACGGCGGCGACGACGACGGACGACGACGGACGACGACAACGACGACGACGACAGACGACGAGACGGACGACGGACGACGACGACGTCTACGACAACGGACGCTGACGACGACGACGACTAGGACGACGACGACGACGACGACGGAGGACGACGACGACGACAACAACGGCGACTACGACAACGACGACGACGACGGACGAGGACGACGAAGGACGACGGACGGACCACGAAGGCAACGGAAACAACAACGTGACGACAAATGACGACGGACGACGGACAACGACGTCGACGGAGACGACAGCGACGACGTTGGACGACGACGAAGACGACAAGGACGACGACAGCGATGACGGACGACGTCGTTGTAGGCGACGACGACGACGACGACGACGACGGACGGCGGACGGCGGACGACGGACGACGGACGACGGACGACGACGATAGCGACGACGATAACGACGACGACGTGGACGACGACGACGACGTTGACGACGAAAGACGACGACGCCGACGACCACGACCGACGACGTTGGACGACGACGACGGCGACGACGGACGACGACGACGACGGACGACGACGACGTCGACGAGGAAGGCGACGACGACGACAGACATCGGCGGACGACGACGAGCACGACGACAACGACGACGAGGCTGACGACGACGACTGACGACGACGACGACGACGACGAACGACGACGACGACGACGAACGACGACGACGACGAACGACGACGACGGACGACGACGACGACGGACGACGGACGCCAAGGACACCGACGACACCGACGTCGACGCACGACGACGACCACGACAACGTCGACATTGGCGACGAAGACGACGATCTCTGACGACGGCGACGGAAAACGATGACTACGACGACGACGACGACAGCAACGGATGACCACGACGGACAACGACAACGGACGACTGACCACGGACGACAAACGACGCCCGACGACAACGACAACGACGACGACGAAGACGACGACGAACCACGGACACACGACGACGACACGACGACGACGACGACAACGACAGCGACGACGGACGACGACAACGACACGGACGACGACGGCAACGACAGACGACGATGACGACGACGACGACGACGGCGGACGACGACGACAACCGACAACGACGACGGCGACGACGAACGACGGACGACGGACGACAGGCGACGACAACAACCACGAACGATCGGCGAACGACGGACGACGACGACGACGAACGACGGACGACGGAAGACGACGACGACGGACGACAACGACGACGACGACGACGACGACGGACGACGACGACGACGACGACGACGACGGTGACGACGACGACGAAAACGACGACGACGACGACTACGACGGACGACGGACGACAGGCGGCGGACGACGGACGACGGACGACGGACCGCAACGACGCCGACGACGACGACGACGACGACGACGAAGACGATGATGATGACAACAACGACGACGACGACGACGAACAACAACGA